CATTACATTGATTATAATCCCCTCCACATACCATCAGTTAACAGAGTTTCTCTCTAGCTTTTTTTTTTGGGAAAAACTTTGCTTTTTTGGAATTTACAGTCTCGGCTTTTAGGGAAGGTTTTTACATTTATTTGTGGGTATCCATTATCTTTTAATTCCATTTTTTTCTAAAGTCCCCTTGTATTTGTTGTACTAATAAGACTCATACAGTCCTTTTTTATACTTGTAGATGTTTACATATTAAATTGTTTTCCAGACTGTTTTTAGTGTTCAAAATTCCCCCCGAAAAAATGCCTAAGAGGTTTTTAGTACTTTTTAAATGAACTACAATGAACATAATACTACCATCTATTAAATATTCTTGATTACTCTTTACCCCACACTTAAATTAAATCATGTGAAAAAAAGGATGAAGCAGAACTAGACTTTTTAGCACTATAATTAGGAAACCTTTTGAAGACTGAACATGTTAAGTAATAATAAAATGGCTTGTATTATATGTCTACTAGACAACACGTTTTTGACTAATAAGATAATTTGAATGTGGACTATTATATAATATCAAGAATTAGAATTACATCTATTCTGTTAACTCTAGAGAAGTTAGGCTGTGTATTATCTAAAGTTTACTTTATGATACTTGAATTTTAAACTTTCATTATCACGAACTTATTGAAGTTTAAGCTTCATTACTATGAACTTATCAACATTTTACAATGTACCAGAATCATTAGAGTACCAAAACAATAAAAAACAATATCCAATTCTTCAATTGTATCTGTCAGATCAGAGTCAAATCCTATCACAAGCAAAAACTAGTTTTCAAATAATTTGAAATAATCTAATATGAAATCTGATGGCTTCATCAAGTCATTAACTGTATCTGAAGAGTGTTAAAGTCAATAACATACCATGGGCTGCTCTTCTTTGATCTGCCAGAGTTGCTATATCCTGTAACTGCTTTCTTTGTTCTTCATTAAGACCATGAGTCAGAGCCTGATACCATACCGGATTACGGTTTTGAATAGCTATCATAAAGAAAATAGGAATAACAGGAATGAGAAACCTGACATTTAAATTAAATGATTTTCTATTTCCACTTTATTACATTTACTATGTATATGAGCTCCTTTCTATTCTGTTCTTTTTGCATCATTCCCAGTACTAAACTTGTGATTTTATATTCCCAATAATTGTGTCATGAACCATGCATATTAAGTGCTGTCCAGTTGGTTCCCTAACTCATAATGACCCTGTATAGGGTTTCAGAGGAACAGCAATCCAACGCTTATCCTTAGCACCACATCAAGACTCTAATCGGAAGATAGACAAAACTGTGTTTGGTTTGTGGCAGTTTGCATTCAGGCATAGAGCAATGGTGAATAAATGCAGCTGTGATGCCTCAGGCCCAGCATATGTATCCATCACATTCTGGGCATAGACCAGCTAGCTGCCTTGGTGTGAGGGTTATTTCTGGGCTGGAAAAAATGATTTCTTCCTGCATGGGTGAAAGCAGTTTCCAGAGCAAGGAAGGAATTCAGCCAGGAGAAGGGCTGCTTTAGAAACTCAAGATTAGGTAGAATTGTTAAGTGCCGCTGAGTCAGTTCCGACCCATAGTGACCCTGTATAGGGTTTCCGAGGAGCAGGTGGTGAGCTGGAACCACCGACCTTGCAGTTCAAACAGCTTTGCAATCGGGCGCATTAACCCACTGCGCCACACCAGGACTCCAGGAAGGATGGGAAGGGTCTGCTATTAGGAACCAGTCCTCCACTGTCAACAGGCACCAAGATGAAGACTTTAACTGAAGACTTTAACTCGTGGGATATTAAAAAAAAAAAAAAAAAAAAAAAGGAAGTTGAAGTCATGAACAAGGGAAAAAAAAAATCTGGTATGGCAGTAGGCCAAAAAAGTGTAATATGTGTATATTTTGCATAAGAAAATGGTAATATATATGTAATTTGTTCTAGTCTTTACTGAAATCCAAATAAAGTCCTGTGAAAAAATAGGAAAATAAAACTCCAGTTTATTTATTATTTAAAAATCCAATGATAATAATCTTGATTATAAGACAGTTAAAGCTAATTCTTACTAGAGTCAGAAGAGGTTATAACCAGGTAGACTTAAATCCCCCCTTACTAAAAAAAAAAAATCTTCCTAATATACATATACTTTTCTTTCCATATAATGGCAGTTTTGTGTTGGTGGTGTTTATGTGCCATGGAGTAGGTTCTGGCTCATAGCGACCCTGGCACAGGGTTTCCAAGGCTGTAAAACTCTTTATAGGAGCAGAAAGTCTCATCTTTCTCCCTAAGAACGGCTGGTAGATTCAAACTGCTGACCTTGAGGTTAGCAGCCCAACTTTTAATCAGTATGTTACTAGAATTCCATAGCTTTGCATTACTCACGTTAAAACTTAAATGGTCACACAATTATAATCTAAATCTGAAATGAGAAATGTAGAAAAATTTGCCCAATAAATACAAAGACAATTTGCCACCTTTTACAAAAATATATATTGGATAACTGATATGTGTTCTTAGTTCCATATACACTTGTGTTTGAATGTTCTCTGTTAATAAGTCCCATGAAAAGAATTCTCCATATAGAAATAACAAGAATACACAAATTTCCTATTATTAGTGGCCAAGTCGTTAGGAAAAGAATCTGTCATTTTATTACATGATTTCCTATTCCTACCTATCGTGTTTACTGTACATGGGGTCCTTTTAATTTAAGTATTGACACGTTAAATCTGCAAAAATATAAAGGCATGGACAAGAGTTCTTGGTATCTCTTGCTATCATGTAACACAAACGATATTTTCATGCTCCTTTAACCTTGCATCAAAAATGCTCTCTCATGGCCTTTAGGACACTAAAAGCTTTGGTTACCAGAGAATTTGATATTTTCCTGATGTATAAAAGAATAATAACACTGATAACTCGAGGAGAGGATATTTTGAATAGTGATTTTGATTTCTTAAGCTGAGTATCACATGTTATATCTTATTGTTTGTTGAAACAAGAAATCCAAATAAATGGCAGTAAAAGTCAAACTGGCACCAAGCACATGTTTGCAGCCACAAACTGAAACACATTCTGGAATACTTTCTGAATACACTTGTTATTTGTTGTACAGCAATGCTGTATAGGGTTTCCAAGGAGTAGCTTGTGAGCTTGCAGTTCAAACAACTTTGCAGTCTGACGCATTAGCCCACAGTGCTTGAATATAGTTATATACATAAAAGGCGCTTCAAAATTTAATAGAAGCATGGACTTAAAGATAATGGAATTTGTCCATATATTTTTTTAGCTCAGGATTTTATTATTCTAAAAGTGCCAATTTAGTAATGATACTAGATTGAGATGGCTAACATATCACAGGAAAACAGGTGAAAAGACCACAAGTAGTGTATGTTTGGACAGAATGGGGAAAAAAAATCCCTAACTATACATGTCAGTAAGGAGCTCTGGTAGTGTAGTGGTTACGAATTGGGCTGCGAACCTTAAGGTCAGCAGTTTGAAACTACCAGCTGCTCCGCGGGAGAAAGACGAGGCTTTCTGCTACTGTAAAGATCTGCAGCCTCGGAAACCCTGTACAGGGTCTCTATGGGTCGGAACTGACTCAATGGAACTTAACAACATACATGGCAGTATGTATGGTACAGTTTTGCTAGGTACACTTTCCTGTAATATGTAGTTGTTAAGTGCAGTCGAGTCTATTCCAACTCATAGAGACCCTGTATAGGGTTTCCAAGGAGTGGCTGGTGAGTTTGAACCACCAACCTTGTGGTTCAAACTAACCATGTGGCCCAGTGCTTTATCCCACAGCACCACACAAGAATCCCAAATTTACAAATTTCATAAAAATAAAGGTATAGGAATGGGAGAAAATAGACATAAACTCTACAGCAACTCTAGGAATAATTTTACCAAATAAAGCTATATTCTAATTTGGGTTTGATATCCCTTCTTTTTAAGGGTTAGACATAAAGAAGAAGAGATTTATTCAGTAATATAGATTCAAATGAGCTACTTGAATTACATAAACCAAATTGACTTACTTTGAAATATAGCTTTAAATATCTGATACTCATCAACAGGGTTATCTTCATCATCAATGATTGTGGAATAGCCTTCTAGAGCAGTCTCCTCAGCATCATCTTCTTCCCAATCTTCATCATCTCCATCTTCACCAGCTTGCTTAGCCAGAATCTCCAAATATTCTTGTCCATCTTCATCAATATCATCTTCATCACTTCCTAGTTCCTCTGCCAAGTCATAGAATTTACTGTTTGTTACTTAACAAAATATTACAAATCACAATGAAATAAATTCAATGAAGAGTGTCAAGAATTGATGTTTAAATACTTATTCAACTACCTTTTAAATTCTCATGGAAATACATGAAACTCAACTATGATTTATAGTTTGATAAGGAATAAGCGATTCAGTCATAGGCATGCTCTGAGCCTTAAAAACGTATGTCAAATCCACGCAGCAATGGTTTAAATTACATGCATGTTGTGAGATTTAAAAAAAAAGAAAGCTATCAGTAAATGATATAAGACAAAAATGGTAATAGCAATCCTATTTTGGAAATATTACATTTCACTAACCAACTTTTAATTTTGCCAATTTATAGTCTTATACACTATTAGTACTAATAAATGTCCTACAATAAATCCAGGAACATTATAAATAACACTGAGTACCATGTACTCCATATCATCAGTGAAAACAAGGCCAGGGACAGATGTGGAACAGACCATCAATTACTCATATGCAAACTCAAAATGAAGCTGAAGAAAATGAAAACAAGTCCATGAGAGCCAACATATGACCTTGAATATATCCCACCTGAATTTAGAGATCATCTGAAGAACATTTCATACATTAAACACTAAAGACCCAGAAGAGTTGTGGGATTACATCAAGAACATCCATCATACATGAAGAAAGAAAAAGTCATTAAGACAAGAAAGAAGGAAAAGGTCAAAATGGATGTCAGAAGAGACACTGAAACTTGTTCTCCAGTGTAGAGATGCTAAAGCGAATGGAAGAAATGAGGTCCCATAGATGATAAAGACCAGCTCAAGATGATAAAGCCAAATATTACAACAAAATGTGCAACGATCTGGAATCAGAAAACCAAAAAGGAAGAACACGTTCAGCATTTCTCAAGCTGGGGGAACTGAAGAAAAAATTCAAGCCTTGACTTTCGTTATTGAAAGATTCTCTGGGCAAATTATTGAATAAAGTATCAAGAGAAGACAGAAGGAATAGTCACTGTACCAAAAGGAAATGGTTAATATTCAACCATTTCAAGAGGTACCATATGATCAAGAGCCATTGATCCTGAAAGAGAAGTCCAAGGTGCATTGAAGGAATTGGCAAAGAACAAGGCACCAGGAATTGATGGAATAATAATTTAAATCTTTCACGAAAGTGAGGTGACACAGGAGGCACTCACTCATCTCTGCCAAGAAATTTGGAAGACAACTATCTGGCCGACTGACTGGAAGAGATCCGTATCTGTGCACATTCCAAAGAGAGGTGACCCAACGGAATGCGGAAATCATCGGATAATCTCTTTGAGATCTCATGCGAGTAAAGTTTTACTAAAGATAATACAGAAACAGCTGCAAGCAAATATTAAAAGAAAACTTCCAGAGGTTCAAGCCGAATTGAGAAGAGGCTGTGGAACGAGGGATATCATTGCTGATGTCTGATGGATCTTGGCTGAAAACAGAGAATATCAGAAAGATGTTTACCTGTGCTTTATTGATTATGCAAAGGCTTTCGATTGTGTGAATCATGACAAGCTATGGGCAACATTGCGAAGTATGAGTATTCTGGAACACTTAATTGTGTTCATGAGGAATCTGTACGTGGAACAAGAGGCAGTTGTATGAACAAAACATGGGAATGCTGAATGGTTTAAAATTAAAAAAGATGTACGACAAGGTTGTGTACTTTCACTATACCTATTCAACCTGTATGCTGAGCAAATAATCTGAGAAGCTGGGTTATATGTAGAAAAATGTGACATCAGGATTGGAGGAAGACTCATTAACGATATGCAGATGATACAACCTTGCTTGCTGATAGTTGTTGTTGTTATTGTTAAGTGCCGTCGAGTCGGATCCGACCCATAGTGACCTTCTACAGGGTTTCCGAGGCTGTAAATCTTTACGGGAGCAGAATGCCTCATCTTTCTCCCGCGGAGCGGCTGGTAGTTTCGAACTGCTGGCCTTAAGGTGCTGATAGTTAAGAGGACTTAAAACATTTACTGATGAAGATCAAAGAGCACAGCCTTCGATATGGATTACATCTCAATGTCAAGAAAACAAAAATCCTCACCACTGGACCAACAAACAGCATTCTTATCAATGGAGAAAAGATTGAAGTTATCAAGGACTTCATTCTCGGATCAACTATCAACAGTCACGGAAGCAGCAGTCAAGAAATCATAGGACATATTGCATTAGGCAAATCTGTCAGCTGGAGGACTAAGGAGTGCCTGACCCAAGCCATGCTATTTTCAATAACCTCATATGCATGTGAAAGCTGGACAGTGAATAAGGAAGACCGTAGAAGAATTGATGCTTTTGAGTTATGGTGCTGGAGGAAAATACTGGAAGTGCATGGGCTGCCAAAAGAACCAATAGATCCGTTTTGGAAGAAGTGCAGGCAGAATGTGCCTTGGAGGCCAAGATGGCCAAACTTCGTCTCTCATACTTTGGACATATTGTCTGGAAGGACCAGTTGCTAGAGAAAGATATGATGTTTGGTAAGGTGGTGTGTCAGAGAAAAAGACCCCCAATGAGATGGATTGGCTAAGTGGCAGCATCGATGGACTCAAGAGTGGCAACAGTAGTGAGGTTAGCCCAGGATCGGGCAGTATTTTCTCTGATGTCCATAAGGTGGTTATGAGTCGGTACCAACTCGATGGCACCTAACAAGAGCAACAACAACCATGTACTAACACTCTGTCAAGGACTCTCTCATCACAACCTATTATTGATATACTACTACTATACTCATATAAATTATACTCATAAACTAATCTGGCTATGAAAGGTTATAAAACTAGGTAAGTACAGTGCTATTTCAAACAAAGTTGAGTTTAGGTTTTCTCTATTCCAAGCCCCTTACCTGTTTCATCATCATCTTCTGCTTCATCATCATCATCACTGTCATTCTCGTGTTCTGCATGGCAAGCATATGCTCTTTTTAATCCATTAAATAAAAGGATAAAAGCTGGCAAAATCTGTCCAGAAACCTGATTTAAAACTTGTGGTATCTGTTCCATATCAATAAGAGCACACAGGCCCAGGACACACATCTTTCTGTCATGAAGTCTACAAACAAATTGAAAAATAGATGGTTTCTTCTTTCTCATTGCTTTTTAAATAAGCAGTTTCTCAAAAAAAAAAAAAAAAACAAAAAAAAAACCCCGTAATAAACAAAGGTCCAGTGCATGTCACTTACCCCAAGAAACAGTCAACATCATTAAGCCACTGTGTAATAAAATGATTTGTAACTGGTTCAACATTATTAGGAAAGCGAAGATTTTCTAAAGTATTGAGCAGTAGGTGAGGATTATAATACAAAGCTGCAATAGCAACTTGCAGGCACATGGTTCGAAGTTCACTTGTCTTAACTTCTCTGGTCAGTCGTTCTAAAGCAGCTTCCACGAATAAGGGAATGCACTATAAACAAAAGTAGTAAAATAAACCAAAATTGTAATTAACAGTATTCCTACTAACAAAGTAGCTCACAGCAATTATGTTGATTCAGACTCATGGTGCACCAAGTGTTTCAGAGTTTAATCGTTCTATAGAGCTTCCTTATGGAGGTAAGATGTAATCTTACAGAGTAGATTGCCAGACCTTTTTCTCATCTAATGCCAATGGGTGGATTCAAACCGCCAATCTTTAGGTTAGTAGTTGAGAATAAAGTGTGTGTGCCACTTACCCTTACCAATATTAACTTACAGTAGCCTCCCTTGCCCCTTAGCTGACTTAGTAGTTTTGATTGATAGTCTTGTTAAGGTTTCAGAGGAAGTGTTCATTGAAAGCTCTTCATCACAATAAGGATCATAAAAACACAATATTCTTACTTAAAGTGACCATGGCAATTTAATTACTAATGGTATCTTATTGCAAAATGATGATAAACAACTCTCTCAAAACATACCAAAACTGCAACACTTAAGTAATAGTTTATACACCAAAATGGACATACAGTATATCTGTAAATCTTTATGGCAGAAGACAATCTTATCTTTCTTCCAGGGAGTGGCTAGTGAGTTTGAACTGCCAACTTTGTGGTTAGCAGTTCATTGTTCATCCTACAATGCCATCAAAACTAATACTGAAGAGGAGATAAGAACAGCTGAGAACTCTATACTCATGGAAAGGGAAAGGCTGTGTGCTGGCGGGCAGGAGGCTGGCTTGCAAAATGCGCTCATTGTTTAAACGACTATATACTCCGGTGTGTTTTTGTGTACATAAAAAACAAAAACAAAACAAAAAACAGAAGGAATAGAAGCAAATATTACTGTTGAATGATGATGCACAGAGGGGATTTTAGTCATTGCAATGAAACAAATACAATAGGATGAGTGTAAATCCAATGTTCTCCCATGCAAACTATCAATGAATTCACAATAAAAGCTTTAAAACCCCTAAAAGTGAAACTACAGCAAAAGAAGTGGGAATCCCTCTCTGAATCTTCATGAGTAATGCTTTGTGTTACTGACCTGATCAATGCCACGCCCTTTGCACTGTAGAATGATGACCTCTAGTAATTTTGCTGCATGACACTCTGCATCTTCACCTGCAACTCCTGTAAGAACCTGATGAAAACAAACATGCAACTGCAATGAGGTTTCACAAAATATTATAAATCTTCCTTGCCTGTGTACAGACTCTGAATCCTTAACATATCCTAATTGATATGAAAGCCAAACTATTCACTATACAGACTATAGGTTAAAGTGCCTGTGAGGATTTGCAGCTGTTAACCTATACATGTCATAATCATGTATAATGGCAGCTTGATACACATAATCAAAGCACCTACTTTGTATTGTTCCATTCTTGTCCACAGCACGTTGACAACAGCTAACCTTTCTCAGAGGTAACTGGCTTTTATGTATAAAACTACAGAAACCTAAAAACTGGATTGCTAGTAAACTTTCTGTATATGTGTCCCATTAAAAATAAAACAATCTATTTGGAGGAGAATGGAATACAAAATTACAGGTGTTAATTCAGACGCCTGAAACCACCCTTGGATTTTGTTATTATTTTTGGATGTGTATATATTCTCCATAAACCTGAAGTTGTAAACATTTTTCATTATAGATCATCTCTGACCATTCCTGATCCTTTCCAGTCTCTAAATCAAGTTCTTGTTTGCTTCATTTGATTCCAAAGAACTAGCCTAAGGAAAGCGCCACATTCTAAAAATAAAAAAATGTATTTATAATTACAACAAGTCAGAAAAATGACAAATACTTGTCAAAACAATTAATGCAGTATCTAGCAACCTAATTTTTTAGCTCACAACTGTTCAAGCCCTCAATTCTGTAAAACCCATGTTTGCCACAATGTGGTATCTTTTCAATTTCATACTTAAGTCTCATGAAATGTTATATTATCTAAAAATGACCCACCTTTTTGCACATACTGTATATCATTTCAAGATACTTCGTATCAGACAAAAGTGTATCTGTATCAACTGTTACATAATTGTGAAGCAGAGGCATCATATCTGTATTAGTAAAAGATATCAGTTATAAATCTGTATTAATATAAACGCTTTATCTTTGTGTCTAAAAAGTTTCCAAAGGAAAGGCAGCAAATCTATGATCATTTTATCCCTAACATTTACTTTTATGTATTATTCATTTAAAAAGGAGCTTTCAAAAGTTCTTGGAAAAATGAAAAAAAAAAAAAAAAAGATATTCCATGATCTTTTAAAAGCCCCCTCCTGTAAGTAAATGAAGAAATGAAAATATTAAAAGAAGTCCTTAGTATTTAATAATTAAGCATAAAGATTATACAAAAGAACAGAGAAATGTATCAGAAAGTGAAAAACCAAAAACCAAGGTGCAGATATAATGGAAATTTATGTGAAAAGTCTTCCTTGAGCATTGATTTCTACAGATCAATAAATGTTAAATAATGAAGGGGCTGGAACATTCAAATGTATTTTTTCAAATATTACATTACTAAGAAATATTTCTTAGTGGCTTATGTCATTATCACACTGTATAATAAGCACTGGATTGCTAACTAATGCTGGCAGTATAAATACACCAACTGCCCCTAGGAAAATTTATCCAGGTTCATTATGAATTGGGATGGACTAGACAGCACATAACAAGAAGAAATCAAAATGGAGAGGGGTGGGTCAAGAAGGATCAACAGTATTTCCACAATTTCCCTTACCTGTAAAGTAATCAAAGCCATCTTGCTGAAAGACCTCAAATACAAGGGGTAAAAGCTGCCACATCTGTGGAGATACTTGCTGACATGTCAAACTGTGTGCTAAAGAGAAGATCTCCTCATAGAATTCTAAAAGAGAACATTAAGTCATTAAGACAATACTGCTCATGTAAATTAACAGAAAATTCTCAGCATAATCAGAGATAAATACCTAAAACATGCTGTTGTAAAACAGTACCAATGACCTGTAGGCAGATACCCTCAAGCTGTTGGGTTATCTAAAAAAGAAAAACATAATCTCAAGAAATTGAAGCATACAGAATATCTTACTAAAATAATGATACTGTGAGTCCTTGCATTTAAACATAAAGTCATTATTAAGAAATTTAAACTTTTTTGATACTTGCATACTACCATATTATGAACCAAAGAAAATATGATTATAATTAAATAAACATAAGGAATTACCAGTTTAGTTACCTAAAAAGGGAAGAAAAATTCTGGAAAAGGTATAAACAATTAAAGACAGCCTATAGATCTTACATGTGTAAATATAATAGAAAAGTAGAAAAGTCACTTTAAGTTGCTTCGAGTCATAAAAGATCCATTTTTCAAACTATGTTAGTGATTAATAAAATAAGCCCCAAGTCATTCAAGATTAAAAGGGAATATGAAACCTTTAATTTTTAGTATGGCCCTCAATTGGACCCCCAAATCCTGAAGTGCTTTTTTTAAAAAAGCAAATAAATTATTAATTGAAATCCTCTACAGGGTGGCTATGATTTGATAGCAACAATCAGATATAGAAGCAGGACATCTATTTCAAATATATAACAATACATTTGTAACTCTTCTATTAAAAAAAAAAGTAGTGACAGGATTCCTCATGGTTTTTACCCATTTCCTCCAATGATGATCCAGATTCTAATACTGTTTTGTTAAAAATCTTATGTTGTAGGTAATCTGAAAATATGTGCACTATATGATTTATGGGTAAGATACATAGTTAACATTAAAACATTTCTATTGGTTACTTAGAAGGGAATAAAGGTCTCTTAACTGCATCTATTTACAACTTTCTTTTTAGAAATAAATCTAAAAGCAAATGTTTTTATTGCTTTTCAGTGCTGTTGAGTCAGTTCCGACCCGTAGTGACGCTGTTTAGAGTTTCCAAGGTGTGGCTGGTGAGCTTTAACCACCGACCTTGCGGTTCACGCTGACTTTTCAGTCTAGCACACCAGGACTTCAAAAGCAAGTATTACAAGATGTTAAAATGTAGTAAATTTACGTGGTAGTTAAGAGACAATGTTCATGGCTTTCTCTGTTCTTTTTATATTTTTATGTTTAAAATAATCTGTTTTTGAAAAACGCATGATTACATTTCTTACCTTTCCAAGAAAAAAAACAATCTAGGACTTGAGAAGGACCTAAGAGGGACCCGAAACTCTGAGCCCCAAAATTGAGATGATAAAAATACTTGTTTACTATTCTTTCTACTAATGCTCCAGAAACTAATGTTTACATGATACTTATTTCATCTTAACAAAATAGTATTTAAAAATGGCAAAATCAAGGTGCTTAAGAGTATTAGTTATATAACTCAGAGCACTCGAAAAAGACATGAATGGTTGGATCATTTTCTTACCTCTTTATGATCTTCAACTACACTAAGAAGTGTGTCGATTGTATTCAGAATTCCCATTGCAGTAACTGCTTTGTCATCACTTCCTTCTTCATCTGGCCCAGTTTGGATTACTTGATTAAATGTCATTGCCTGGGTTCAAGAGAATATGGCTTATGTTTGACATTCAAACAGATTTTGATTTTGGTCTAAACCTTTCATTTTAAGCAAGTTCTCATTGGCAAGCACAACAAGTCAATTTCTCCAAATTGTTATTAGATGTCACTGAGTTGGCATGACTTATAATAATAATGTACAACAGAATATAACAAGGCCTAGTCCTGTACACTGTTACTAGTTTAAGTCCACTGTATCAATTAATCTCATTGTTGAAGCTACTGTATCAATTAATCTCATTGAAGGCCTTCTTTCTCGCATATGCTGTATCTCATCAAGCATGATGTCTTTCTCCAGGGATTGGTCTCTCCTGATAAAATAACAAAGAACATGAGACAAAGTCTCACCAACTTCACTTCCAAGGAGCATTCTGGCTATACATTTGGCATGACAGATTTCACTGTTCTCCATAATTTCAAATGCATTCTTCTGCTGTCTTAGGTTATTCAATGTCCAGCTTTCATATTACACATGAGGTGATTAAAAATACAATGGCGGGGGTCAGGCACACCTTAGCTAACACTTAATAAAAGGGTCTTTGTGGAGCGATGGAGTAGCTGGAGACTTTAGATCCAGAGAGGGAGAGCGACTGTGTGCTGAAGACCTGGGGGTTATGGGGGAAGGATTGCAATGGAGGGGATTCTAACCATGGCAATGAGACTATATACGATAGAATGAATGTAAGACTGATGTTCTCCCATCTAAACTATCACATAACTCACAATAAAACATTAAAAAAAAAAAAAAAAAAAAGGGAGGGGTCTTTTGCAGCATATTTGCCCAATTAAATAAATAATTTGATTTCTTGACTGCTGTTTCCATAAGCATTGATTGTGGATACAAGTAAAAGAAAATCCTTGACAACTTCCATCTTTTTTCCCACTAATCATGATGCTGCTTAGTTCAGTTGTGAGGATTTTTGTTACCGTATTTTGAAGTGTAATCTATACTAACGGATATATATAGTCTTTGACCTTCATCACTAAGTGCTTCAATTTCTCTCTACGTTCAGGAAGCTTATTTGTTTCATCTGTACATTGTGGGTTACAGGAGTCCTCCTCTAATCCTAGTTTTGATTTCTTCATATTGTCCAGCAGCTGGGATTATATGCTCATCATACAGACTGAATACGTATGGTAAAAGGATACAACCCAGAAGCAAACCTTTCCTGGTTTTAAATCACACAGTATCCCTTGTGTTCAAATGACTTCGTCTTGATCCAGATACAGTTTCCACATGAGCACAATTAAGTGTTCTGAGATTACCATTTCACAATGAGATCCATCATTGGTTATACAATTGAATGCCTTAACATATGTAAACATATTTCTGGTATTCTCTGCTTTTAGACAACACCCATCTTTTGAGGATGGCTTCAATTTCTGGCAGTCCACTATTGATGCACTACTGCAACTATTTAAAAATTATTCTTAGCAAAATTTTATTTGTGTGGGTTATCTTTAACTATATTCAGAATTGCCACAGAATCACGTTCTTCAGTTGGCCCAGTTTGGATTACTTGATTTAAACGTCAAGAAAATATAGCTTATGTCATCTTTCTTAGCAAAGATAAGTATTACATTCTAATGTCATGCTTGCTCTGAAATATCTCAAAGGATATTTGTCAATTCCTGCAACCTTGTTTTTCACCAATGCCATCAATGCAGCTTGGGTTCCTTCCTTCAATATCATTGGTTCTTGATCATATGCTACCTCAAGTGGTTGAACATTGACCAGTTCTCCTTAGTACAAGGATTCCTTCTAATGTCTTTTAATGCTTTCTGCATGGTTTAATATTTTGCCGATGGAATCCTTCAATATATAACTGGATGCTTGATTTTTTTTTCTTCAGTTCTTTCAACTTGAGAAATACAGGATGTGTTTCTTTCCTTGAGGTTTTCTAACTTGCCACCTCACAAGTTGTCCAGTCTCTGGTCATTAGTGTTTAATGCATCAAATCTATTCTTGAGAATGTCTTTAAATTCTGGTAGGATACATTCAAGGTGGAATCATGGTATGGCACTGGGTAAGCACTGGATTGCCAGGTTGGTTTGGCAGTTCAAACTCACCAGCCTCTCCTAGGAAACCCTGTACAGGGTTGCTATATGAGTCAAACCAACTCAATGGCACTTATACAAAGTTTTACTTTAGCTCCTGTGGACTTGTTTTTATTTTCTTCAACTTCAGCTTGCATATGAGAAATTGATAATTTGTTCTACAGAGAGCCCTGGCCTTACTCTGATGATACTGGTAATATTGAGACTCAATATTGAGTCTTTGAATATATGCAATCTACTTGATTACAATTACAATTCTATTACTGAGTATTCCATCCAGTGAGATCCATGTACATAGTCACCATTTATACATATGTTGTTAACAAAAGCTACTTCCCAATAATTATGTATTTCCAGTTCTACAAACTGTAATAATTAAGAGTTTAGTTCTCAAGCTATGCCACTTACCAAGTAAACTTATACAAGTTATTTGTCCTGTTTCTTGACATGTCATTTGGAGGATTCTGACTTTAGATGATGTTGTTTGATGTTGTTGTTGTTAAGTGCCATCGAGTTGGTTTCAATTTACAATGACATTTTATAGAGTTTCTAAGGAGTGTCTGGTGGATTTGAAGCACCAACCATGTGATTCACAGTCCAGTGCTATCCTACAGCACTACACCAGGTGTTAATGATGTAGGTCATAGAAATTCCTTAATAGTCTGTTATAGCTACCATCTGACAATGTCTAAATATGTATATATTTACTCATCAAGGGGTCAATTTGTCATTTATAAAACCTAACTGATCTTTTTTAAAACAAACCTCTGAGGATTCACTCTTAATTAGCTTAATGTGTTAGAAATGCAATATATACTTAATGGATGCTATTTTATTTATTCAAATGCCCTTAAACTCCAAAACAAACCCACTGCAGATGAGTTGATTCCAACTCATTGTAACCCTAGAAGACAAAGTTCCATAGGATTTCTGAGGCTGTAAATCTTTTGGAAGCAGGCTGTCTGATTTTTTGTTCAGAGCACTAGGTGGGTTTGAACCACCAAGCTTTGGGTTAGCAGTTCAATGCTCAATCTATTGTGCCACCAAGGCACCTTTCAAATGTCCTTATCCATTTCAAAACCAACTGTTAAGTACATACTTTTCCATGTAATTATTCTTTTTATAACAGCAGCAAATAGCAAGTTAAGAGTTCCAAACTTTAAATTAGTAATTTACATTCTGAGTCTTAGCAATGTGGATTTATGTAGAGTAATAGTGTTAATACTGTAAAAAGTGAGGAAATTTGTGAGTTATAGTAAACAAAGACAAACTAAAAAAAGACTGTAACTACATTTAAATAAATACATCTATTTATTTATAAACTACATTTTTAAGTTAGTCCAAAGTATTTCAGAAAACGACAAAAACAACCAAATTGCAGTATGCGGTAGTAACTAAGAACATGAACGATAGAGACAGACACCCCAGGTTTGAATCCCAGGCTTACATGCTACTAGCTTGGGTAACTTAAGCTTTTTATGCCTATTTTTTCTCTGTAAAATTGGAATTTTTACTCATTTAGAATTATTGGTTCCATGTTATACACACACTAAAGGATTAATACAATACTCGATACAGTAAACAGCATATTTCCTTTAAGGTAAAGGAAGTAAGAAACATGTAAAATAATGCCTGAAACATACTGTGGGCTAAATTAAAATACTTGAAAAAAATAGTTCAAACAACATACCAAATGTTGTGTCATTTCTACTGCAATAGGAGTAACTTCTTCACTATATTCACAGATCATTTTCTGAATTACGTTGGTAAGATCGTCATTTTCTGTTTCTCTTATAATGTGAAGCAGAGCCTGCATTACAGGTCTTATGAAAGGTGTGATGTATTCTTTAGCTGTAAGAAGAAACATAGCACATTTGCCTGAAACTTCTCAACATCTGATATCACATACGCCAAAGAGTTAAAAAGATATACTTCTACCCAAACTGGGAAGACAATGTTCCAGATTCCTATGACTGTCCACTGTATAATTATGTACAAAGACATTCCAGTATTTGGGCTGAGGTATGCTTTACCTTTTTCTTGATTGCTGATCAACACCTGAAGTGCAATAGCAGCTTCGACTTTAACAGGCATTTCCCTATCATCTATCAGACATCTTCTTGTCAGTTCTAAGGCTGTTTGCAGGTTTTGGTCACTTTTGAACTTTACTTCACAAAAATAATGGAGAACCCAGCAAGCCTTAAAATAAATAAACACACACAATGAGTTACTATAGCTAGCTTACATTGACCCAAGAAGTATTTCCATCCTCAAAGTTATTATGTATGGGAATTTGGAGGCTGGCCAGTGGTGAATGTGTCCAAAGAGACGACACTAGACCAGTACTATGATCCCAAGTCACTCTTTGGCTGCAGGGTATTTATGTGAATAGCAAAATCTGAATGCAAAACACAGACAGACACTGCTACCAGACACAGATGAAAACTGTGCACACATTACAGCAGCCATTTAACGATTTATATAAAACAAAAGCTTAAAATGAAATGCAGGCAGTCCCAAGGAAACAAATTAGATGTTCATAACCAATAAGAATTTTAAGTGTGAACAGGTCCACAGAGTTTTTATTTAGCCTTGCTTTCATATAAGAAAGGAAGAGCCTGGTGGAGCTAGAGAAAAAGCACCAGACTGCTAGACTGCTAAGTGCAAGGTTGTCAGTTCAAACCCACCTGTTTCCAGTAGAAAGAGGAGGCTTTCTGCTTCTGTAAAGACTCACAGCCTTGACAACCTCACATACGGTGGTCATTATGAATTGAAACTGACTCAATTTTTTTTTTTTTTTAAAGTATAAGAAAGGCTTAAGGTCTTTCTCATGATTGAAAAGGAAGTCTACATAAGTGTCCCTTTAGATGATGTAATTGTAAATTACTACATTTTTTTTTTTTTTTTTACTACAACATACCCTTGCTCTCATGTATCCCAGTTCACTGCTGAAGAGAGGGAACACATGATTCTGCAACATATATTCCATTTGATCTTTGTAAATCTTTTTCTGTAAAAATAAACAATTGTTTTTGGTACAGTTCCATAAATAATCATTACAAATTCTAAATAATCTAAAAGTGTTTTAAAAAAACAAACCACAAAACAACCTAATTACTGACTCATAATAAACTTTTAGTCTGTGTTGCTGAAACATAGTATCAAAACAAATATTCTTACCCTAGAACACAATCAAAAAGCACTGAATACATTGCTATACCTTCTTATATTATGTGATTAGAAAGTATGCTAAATCTTCATAGCAATTGTAGTTTAGTAATGTAAGTGTGAGTAGATTTTTCTCTGCCTTTAAAATCTCTCATAATGGAAAAAAAAGGAAAAGTCTTAAAGCTAATAATAGTTTTATGTTAATATCAATATTCTGGTTTTAAATTTTTCAGCATGATTATGAAGATGTTAACATTAGAGGAAGGGTGGTAAAGAGGAAGAAGAACTACAGATAACAACAAATAAAGGGGGAACTAATTTTTGTGATTTAACTCTAAGATTACTTCAAAAGAATAAAAGAGTTATATATAATTAACTTAGGAACGAACCCTAGTGATGATGCAAAACTTTATAGATGCTTGGTAGCTAATAGAAGGGTTGTGTCACAAAGCCATGATGTTCTAAAAATATCAATGAATGCATTTGCTTACAAACTTTCTTTACGGTCAATTTTTTGAGAAGCACTTCTACAACAGGCCAACAGTACACGTGGATGGAAAAACACACACACACACACAATATACCTTCAGAAGTATTTCAGCTAAAGAGCCTCCAACAGTACACGTGGATGGAAACACACACACACACACACACACACACACACACACAATATACCTTCAGAAGTATTTCAGCTAAAGAGCCAATCATATGCAAGGCTCCATCTTTTTTTCGAGGGTCAGCGTTTTGCTCTGTAAGAATCTGGTAGCAAAATCCCATAGTCTTTTGCAGCACCTAGATTAAAAAGTAGTTCTTTATTGTATATCCCAACTCATAAAACACATAGTGATAATAAAATTTTAACATAATTATTAAACCAGAATATCTGAACAAATTGTAAATGCCACAACAGAAAGTACCTACACATAAATAGCCTACCTCTTTCCTTTTACTACAAGCTGTAAATAAAAGTGTCTGGGCAGCAGTGGTAGGAGAAATAAAATCTTCAAATACATCTAGAGAACAAATAGAAAATTAAGACACAAAACAGCAACCTTAATTTTTTTTACCAAAATATTTTTTCTCACTCACACACACATACAACATGCAATCAGTGCTCTGTATAAAGTAGGCACTTACAATTTGGTAAATCTTTAATAAGGATTATGAACATGAACCCAGATCCCCAAACCTTTGCAAGTCTAATTCATCTTTTTTGTGCAGATTTCTTTAAATGCTAAGCCATTAATTTTTCCTTCATAACAAATACTACTATTCTGAGAATTCAACACTAGCCAAATTACAATTCCTTCTTTTCAGTGACTCAATGTGATTATAATTTCCAGTATCTGGTCTTAATTCCCATATATAAAATGACTGACGTGTGACCCAGAAGTATAGTTTAGACACTCATTGTTTAATCTTTACATACTGACATATATTTTGTTTCTAAAAAGTGAAAATTCCTTACCAAACTTCATACGTATATATTCATAAGGGTCTTCTTGCCAAAGTTCCTCATCAGCATCTGTATAGCACATCAATGGAAAAATAACATCTTGGATAATGCCCTGTAATTTAAAAATTAAAAAAAGCAACAATCTTAAATTGCTTTAAACCTTCGAATATTCTTGATGTCCTGAAAGAAAAGCAGCCCTGTAAAGAATGTAACTTAAAATTGCTCATATCAAAATTAAGTGATGAATTTTAGTGCAGTATTAGGTTTAATTATCAACCTACATATTCTTATTCTCCAGCAACTAGTATTTAGAAATATGACCTTTGTATACATAGGAGGCAGTTATGCATTTTGAGATTAATATATTGTGAAATTTTTATTTAAAGGGTTAAGCCTTTAAATAAAGCATGTACATTAAAAATAGCACATAAGTCAATTATTTTGAAAAACAATTTGGTGAACTAAAGTCTAACATGTTAACTAATCATAATCCTAGAGTAAGACCTTAAAAAAACACATTAAAGCAATCGTTTTAAACTAATATATAAGCTGAACATTTACAAAATACCTTTTACTTTTATGAGGGTCTTACACCTCAATTTTCTGTTCTACTTTCAAAACAATCACCAGAACTAGACTAAGTAACACAACTCAATAAAAATTACCTTTCAAGTTTTATGGCAATTAATGTTATTTCCATTATATTTGCTAAAAGAAAAAAAACAAGAACAAAAACCATTATTTCAGTAGAAAATTATTACTTGTATATGAGGCTTCAGATTCTTCCAGGTGAGGGCATGGGAAACTCCTTGATTAATATAATTTAATGTCTGCTGTAAAACTCGAGGAGCCATATACTGCTTTTCCTTGTACTGATATAACACCTTCAATAAAACCTTTGGAAAAAATTTAATCAAAAATCAAGTTTAAATAGAAATTTTAGCCACCTGTAAGACAGTAAAAGCATATTAACGCTTAACGCCTATGTCATCACAAAACAGCAGCCACATTCTTTTAAAAATAATTTTTCTAAATTATAAATTTGAGTAAGATTCAAGTCACTCAGTAACAAACTAAAGCTATTATGTGTGAAGGACTAGTTTCAGATTAAGCACAAAAAATGATAGAAAATTATATGTTGCCTATTGACTATGTCTCAACAAGTCTGACAGCCTTGTCTTTTTAAACATATCTTCTAGGAAAGATTTAATGCCTAAGAGTTCTCATTCTACTTGTTGCTTTACTGATTTCTCTAAGTATGGTCCACAGAATTTTTGAGATGGTATGTGATGTCAAGACCTTTATGTTACCAGAACAGATGATTCCTTGGAGAGAAGGACATCATGCCTGGTAAGGTAGAGATCAAGGAAAAAAGAGGAGGACCTTGTTAACAAGATAGACTGACACAGAGAATGCAATAGTGAGCTCAAATATGGCAAGGATTCTGAAGAGGGCACAGGTCTGGGTTATGTTTTGTTCTATTGTACATAGGGTCGCTATGACGCAGAATCAATTAAACAACACTTAACAACAACATTAACCAATGGAATGGTGTGCTAAACTGTATTCTGTAGCCTATATAATAGGACTTCAAAAAGTTAATGAAAAAATAGAAAAGAGGATAAAAGAATTCCTCCATGAACTTTTAAAATCCCCTTCGTACTTAAAGAACTAGCTGTATTCAAGAATGTCTTTAATGAAGCCAAAAAATTAGTAATATTATTAATCAGGAAATATATATCTGTTTTTGCTGTGAGATTTAGTTATAAGCAGAAATAGTATCAGGAAATTCTATCATATACCTTCAAAGAGGTGCTCAGTTATACTTATTTATTTGTATTTGTACATATGGCAGTGTCTCAAAAATGAATAAAACAAGCTTTTCACTTCAAGGACACTAATTTTACGAGCATTAAAATATCAAGGAAAAACTAGAATTCTGGAAAATGTAGCTTTCCAATATTTAAAGATATTTATAAGTTATGTGGCAATATTAATATTTTTCAAATTGTAAATTGAAGTGAGTTAACATTTTGAAGATCTGCATTAAGTCGATGTATCACCATTTTATAAATAACCAATAATGCATGCATGTTATATGCATTCAAGATACAATGCAAACCAATCAATTGGTTTTAATATGTTGTAGTTGTTAAATACCAATGAGTCAGTTTTGACTTATAGTGACCTTGTACAGGGTTTCTGAGGTTTTTAAATTTTGCAGAAGTAAAAAGCCTTATCTTTTTCCAGTGCAGTAGCGGGTTCAAACCTCAGACCTTGTGGTTCTCGGTCCAGCGTTTATTCTATGGAGCCACTGTGCTCCCAGGTTTTAATATAACAGGGCAAAACATGTTTGCTGTTAAAAGAATTTCAAATTCTACATTGCAATTAACCTGAAGAAAATTTTTTCACTAAATTTTGTTGAGATATCAAAGAATTTTCACAATTATCTGAGAAGATTATCAAAACCCCTCTCTCCCAACTACATTTCTATAAGGCTGTATTTTCTTAACTTACATTATCAAAACAAATTAAAACAGACTGAACATAGAAGCTACCTTCTATTAAGTTACACATTAAAGTTATTTTTTCATTTTAGAAGAAAAGGTATTTTCATATTAAAATATATTAGTTACTAATGATAAACCATTAAGTTTCAAATATGCATTTCTCTAGATATGAAAAAAAAAACCAACCCTCAAAATAAGATGACAAACTCAACAATGCTGTGCTTCTGCTTAGAAAAACGAAGACTTACTTGCTGGACACCAACAGCAAATGCCTTCAAAAATACCTCAGCAAATTCATTATACTCCTTGGAAACATTGCCAGGGCTTCCATATCTTAAAAAACATAAAATGCCAATTGTTCTTACACAAGACAATGATGAAAATATAAATTTAAAGCACTATGTATGAAAAAGTAGAGTTTACCTTTCAAAAAGTCTTGCTAAGATATGTAAAGCCCACTTCTTACATTTCCACCATGGCAACTCTGGTCTATCATCTTCTTCAACTTGAAGTGTTTCCTTTAAAAAGACATTTTATTTCAAGTTAGTAGAAGATGTTATTCATTATTCAGCATTACTGTAATCTAGAGACAGACAAACATGAGAAAACAGCTTCACAAGGAAGTGAATACTCCTCTAATGTTGGCCTTTCATCATAAAAGGCCAGATATGGGAAAGTACTGATCCTTCATTTCTTTACTGGTGGAGGTGGTTTTGTACCCAGTCCATTCTGACTCCTAACGACCCTGTATAGGGTTTCCAAGGCTGTAAATCTTTATGAGAGCAGAAAACCCCTATCTTTCTTCTTTAGAACGGCTGATAGATTTGAACCGTTGACTTTACAGTTAAAGCAGTGCAGCTTGTAATCCACTATGCTACTAGCATTCTTTCATTACTTGGTTATAAAAAGATATGCTTTAAAAATTCTTACAAAAGACTTAAATCCAAACACTGTAAGTCAAATTTATACATTCTTTCAGCTAATATCCACATAATATAAATTCAAGACCATGGTTATCATAGTTTAATTAAAATCAGTATAATTCATAATGCAATAGGCATTAGAAACCACATTCAGATAGATAAGTATAAATGCCAGAAAAAATATCAGAATTATTTGCTACAATACTATTTGTAATAGCAAAAAAAAAAAAAAGCCATGAATATAAACATTCATTAATAAAGGAACAGCTACACTATAAACAGCCATTAACAGACTACTACACTGTAAGTTTTATCATTATTATTGACCCAAGATGTCTGTATCATATTTTCAAGCCCAAATGCGGGAGTTAACAAGAAAGTAGATAAATTGTATACACTTCTGTGATAACACTGATATATACACTTAGGCAAAATCCTTCTGAAAGTTATCTTTAAAGTTACACACATATAACTACCCTATGACCCAATTCCATTCTTTGGCATTTATTAAAGGAAAACGAAAATAAATGTTCACACACAAAAAATTCATGTAAGAATACTCATAACAGTTGCTGGGCCTGGGGGCTCAGGACCATAGACATGGTAGACATCATAGTCAACTGGCAAAACATAGCTCATATACAATGTTCTACACATCCTAATTTGGCAAGTAGTTATCTCAAATACTAGTCACCATTAATAATAAAACTGTCTAAAGAACATTACAGGAAATATCAACTATAGTCCTCAGTAGATTATTATAAACATTTAGCAATATAAGAGAATACACAGAAACTTACATTAGGTACATCCCTGTTCACAACGGTCTTTAAAATTTCAATCCATTCTGTCAGGTTCTGTTGGTTTATCAGCTCCAGGGGCAGTGTATACTAAATTGAAATCAGAAATCAGTATTTTACAAAAAAAAAAAAAAGCCAACAAAAAACCACTTCCTTATAATCTTCACGATACCTACAAAAGAGTTTCAACCAATCCACATTACCTTGTTTTTATAAGATAGCAAATTTCTCTCTCTGATTTGGATAGATATCTATAGTGGTGCACAGTGGCAATGATAGTGGACACTTAACCTTGGTCCCAACTTTATAAAGACTTATTTTTACTTTCAGCATAACGTATGATATGTTTTATAGTTTTTCAATGAAAACATTGATTTATCAAGTTAAAGTTTTTATTCCAATGTTCTATGAGTTTTAGAGAGAAGGCATGGTTGTTAAATTTTTATCAAATTATTTCTCCAGCACTGATACAGGTTTTACTCTTAATGTGATATGAGTTAATCACATAAAGCCTCCACTGATCCATTCTTACATTCCTGGGATAAATCTTACTTCTTAACCAGCTGATAAACTATATCCTATTTAGGATTTTTTTTTTTTTTTTTTAAAACATCTATTTTTACAACTGAGGCAGGGCTTTATTTTGTTATAATGGTATGCTAGTTTCAAAGGAACACAAACACATTACAAAAGATTCATCTGGTATATCAATAAAATGCTCTTAGCATTAAGATGGTCAAAGCTCACATTAGAATGTCTCAAGGACAGGCATACTCAATGAAGTTCCCAGATCTGCCTGTCCACAAGTGTCTTGACACAGAGTGTCAGAGCCTGATCACACTCATTTGAACCCCCACGTAAACTGACATGATAAAATCGACAGATACAAGACATACAAACACACACCAAAAGAAAAAGATGTACACAACACATCACACACACAGAGACACCTAATACAAACATACACCAAGGATGGACATACACCCGCCACAGATTACAAAACCTCCATTAGAGTGTCTTTAAAAATCTGGCAAGAAAAACAAAATCCAACTAAGCAAGCTATCTTATAGGTACAGGTAAAGTTATAATTTAAATGAGATTTTAAAAATAAAGATTCATTGATAAAAAGAAATGAGTGTTTGAATTCTTAAAAGCTTGGGAGCAGCCATGTAAAAGTTACAACTATTGGTCTCTTCCCATTTAGATTAAAACAGATGGAAGGAAAACAAACGGTCAAAGAAGAAACCAGTCCACGGCATTAATAGTCCACATGAATCACAGCCTCCTCTATCTTGAAACCAGAGAAACTAGACGGTACCTGGCTACTACTAACAACCAACAGACAATAGAAAGTCTCATATAAAATGGGAGAGAAATGTAGAACCAAAACAAATTCCTAAAAAAGGCCAGACCTACTGGTAGCGTAGTGGTTACGAATCGGGCTGCGAACCTTAAGGTTAGCGATTCGAAACTACCAGCCGCTCCGCGGGAGAAAGATGAGGCTTTCTACTCCCGTAAAGATTTATACCCTCGGAAACCCTGTACAGGGTCGCTATGGGTCGGAACCGACTCGACGGCACTTAACAACAACAACTGGACCAAAGGAGACTAGAGGAACTCACAAGATTATCACCCGAAGATACACTTTGAACTTGGAATTGAAGCTATTTCCTCAGGTAACCTTTCAGTCAAACAGAGTGCATAAAAAAGACAAATTACACAGGTGAGTATTGTACCCTTTAAATGAGTCATTATATTACAGTTACTCAAAAGTTAAAATAAGAAGATAAGGGGTGGAAGGGAAGCTAGAGTAATAGAAACAGAACAAATGGAATGGAAATAAGGAGAATGCTGATGCAATTGTTAGAACCAATGTTGTTCTTGTGTGCTGTCATGGTGACCCTGTTGTGCAGATAACTGCCCCCACAGGACTACATAGGCATAATCATCAGCTATTTCTTCTGGAAGGGCAGCTGCCCACTAAACCTTTGTGCCACAGGTTCCATGTCAAAACCCATTGGACTGTACAAAACAAACACTGAGCCATAGTATAAATGATGGGCTTCAGTTATTATATGACATGACTATCAATCAGTTCATTAACACATATACCACAAGAATGCAAGATGAAAACAAGAGAAATAGATGCAGAGGGGGTGAGGCATATGGGAAAGCTGTACTTTCTATATTGCTTTGCTATAAATCTGAAACCACTCTACAAAACAAAATTTAAAAAACAAACAAAAGTTAAGTAAGTAGTGAGTGGTATGGCTTGAAGCAAAGGTCATGGTATTGTAGTTGTTCATAGCAACCCTGTACTGTTTCCAAGGAGCTAGTAGGCTTGAACTGCCAAGCTCATGGTTAGTAGTCCAATTTTTAATCTTACAGTGCCCACACACTAGGACTCCAAGGTCATGGTAGATGAGCTCAATCCTTATACAGCTATACAACAAAAAAGAATCAGATTTTAAATCCTGATAAAAACTCTGTCAGACAAGGATAAAAAAAGTTTATTAAAATTATTTTGAAAAGTTATGCTCGAGACTTTTATATTTTGTAATTTCTATATTCTTAGCAAATAATCCAGTAAGTTGTTGCACTTAAGTGCTGCCAAGTCAGTTCTGACTAATAATAGCAACCCTATACAGGGTTTCTGAGGAGCAGCTGGTGAGCTTGAACTGCCAGCCTTGCAGTCCAGCGCATCCATTTTCTAGTGTGTCACACCTAGAAATTATTAGTTTAATATATACATACATATACACTTATGAAAAATTACCTGAACAAGAGCATAGAAGATCTTGAATATTTGTTTTTGTATGAGGACAGACTGATCAGACTGATCAGGAAGAAGCTGGATAAACCGATCCTTTAGAACTGGCAAGAAATGCTGCATTGCTGCTACCAATGGACTCCGTTCCTCTGGTTTCTTGTACCTTTGGGCAGGAATACGAACTATTAAGAATTTACAACACAGTTTTATATAAGGACTTTTTAATTGCCCATGTTTGTTCACAAAAATATTAAGCAAATACTTCCTAACCAAACTTTAGATTCCTAGAAAAAAAAAAAACATCCTATGGAATAAATCAACAAACTAATGCAACTTGATAAAGTAATAATAGAATGTTATCTAATATTTACTGAGTATTTATTATGAGCTCAATAATCTTCAAGAACATCCTCATATTTCTGATTGAGAACTCTGAGGCACAAAGAAATGAAATGACTTCCTAATATTAAACATATAGACCCTCTCTACTTGTGAATATTGGCAAAACTGAGGATATACAATGATGTGGCGTTTTATTATGTATTGCCATCCTTTATTAATTTACAAGTGGGGGAAAAAAAGTATTGCTACAAAATCACAGAAACCGTTAATAATTAAAAAGTATCAAAATATGAAGTTGTTGGTTCATATCTAGGTCTATACACTTCTGAAGGCAGTGTTTTCATATCTTATAATCCCTTCCCCAAAAGAATTCTGTATTCTTCGATTTATACAACAGTTTGGGCATCCTCTAGGGAATCAAACTGTGTTCCTCAAGGGGCAAGATCAGGGCCATAAGATGGATGGGGTAAGGTTTCCCAACATTTTCTTAGAGGATAGCCCTTGCTACCCTTGAAAAACAAGTAGGTATACTGTCATGTTGGAAGAGAATTCCTTGAGACAACGTCCCTGGACTTTTCTTACTAGTGACTTTTCCCATTTTCTTAAAAATTTTTCCTAATAAGCCCTGTGATCATTCTATGCCCTTTAAGAAAATCTATCAAAACTACCACTCTTTTGAGTTCCCCTAAATAGTTGTCATAACCTTTTGGCCTTGTATTTAACTGATGCAGAAGATCCCTTTAGAAAGCAGTATTTTGACTGAATCTTCTTTTAAAGCACCCTACTGAAATTAAGAGAAGAGTTGCACGGGGTTTCAAGGAAGTATTTCCATTACCTTTCTATTTAATTTTTCCATGAACTCTTTGAAGTCCCTTTATATCACTGAGAGAACTTGTCTGCAGCTATCCACCAATCACAGTGACGTGTTTTAAACACATTTTGCTTGGAATAAACCTATGTATATATGAACTGGAACCCTAGTAACAATCCTTTAAAACTTACCCTCATTTAAAATAATACAAAACACCAAGCAGAAAATATTCTTTTTCTAAAAGCACTGTAAACCAGAAGCTCTTCTATAATTCCTGTGGGAATGAGCTTGACCTCAACAAGTTATTGATATTCATACTTTATTATAGCAGGTATAACAATGGGTTTGACTATTGGTGCTGTTAGAAATTTCAGTGGGAGTATTACTTATCAAGTATTATGCTGACCTCATTACCATTTTTCTAAAATCTGAAAAATTTTGGATTAATTTTTGTCCAGATTATAGATGTAAAATAAGGTGACTTCACTGAGAGATTTCTGCTTATAAAACCCTTAGGACTTTAATTCTTGAACAGTCAATACTGTTGAAAAGTCTGTTGGCTTATATTTTTAAATTAACTACTCAAATTTATAAGTTAGAGAGGCAGTCCATAATAGCAGAGTAGTCAGATGCCTCATAATGTCCTTCTTAAAACAAAGACCTGAGAAAAAAAGTGAATTAGTTATAGATAACAACTTTGGAATCCTGAGCATCAAAGGCAAAGCTGAAAAACTGGACGTTCACTAATCTCACAACTATGTTCCAACCCACCCCCAGTGTTTGAAGTGAGAAGACCTGTGGTCCCCTTACCCATTCCATTCCACTACCCATTAGCTGGGGTCCACAGACAGGAAGTACCACCCACCCCTTCTGTCACTCACACTGGACACCTACATACCAGTGGCACAGCCTCCTGCGAATATCCAAAGACTTGTGCCCACTTCAACCACTCACATACAGTGCAGCCTATCTGATACCACCAATGAAAAATTCTGTATCACCCAATTATGCACACAACAACTTAGGCCCTTTTACCCCAACCATCCAGCAACTAGCAATATTCATACACAGTACCCAATCTAGTGACCAGCGAGAGCAGTCTCTATACCCACAAGACAAGCAAACAAGAGGCCATTGCCCCTTCTTCCTGGAGAAAGGTGGTGAGAGTGATAGTGCAATCAGCATAGTAATCAAAATAGCAAATACACCCTGCCTACCCAGATAGAACAAACCAGAAATTCAGGAGACAGCAAACATATAATAAATAATAAAATTAGACGCTACATAATACTTCAGAACAAAACATCAAACCACACAAAGAGCAGTACAAGATGGCTCCAGAAACGGAACAAAATCAAGAACCAGCAAACTTTCTGTAGAAAGAAATGGTAATGAGCTACCTGATAAGGTATTTAGAAGATTAATTAGAAACAATACAAACACAGCAACTAGAAATTCAAAAGAACAAAAAACTTTAAAAATAGACAATATGATAGCATATAGAAGCAGAATTGAAACCACAGAAGACAAAATCAACAAAATATGACAACTCTGGCACCAATTTGTATTGGGGAAAAAAAAAAAAATCAAAAACATGTGGAACATTATCTAGAGGAAAAAGGTTTGTTTATGAGACTGGAGTTCCATAACAGAAGGCAATATAAAAACAAACAATCCTGAACATTTTTAAAGCATCTCATCTATACACCTTGAAAGAAAAATCTGTCAACCAAGATTTTTACAAGTATGTGCCAGATAACATCTGTTCAGGCAATGTCTAACCATATATATGCTGGTCATTCCATAAGGTTTGAATATCAGAAATCCTGATTGAAAAACACAATATAACAGATAAACTTTGGTTAGTACTGTATGTAGATGTGATCTGTCTTAGCACTCCAGATCCCTGCACAACCTGCAGCTGCCTGTCCCACTGCACTGCTTAAGAATTATATGGATAGCATGGGAACCACAGAGAGGGGTTGTCCCATGACGGCACTGCCTCACTCAGCCAGGGTGCCCCATAAAATCATGCCTACCTCAGTCAGGTGTCAGTTGCCAAGCTGTCTGGAGTACTAGCAGTGGTAGGGAGGATGGAGGTACAAGGCTTTAAAGCCCAAGGGGTGGAGGGAGATACAGAGAAGGTAAATAGGGAGGGAAAAAAGGGAGCTGGTAGTTCCACTGGAGGTGGACATCAAGTAGGTACACTGGGAGCCAAGTAATGACCATTGGCAGTAGTATCAAATGGAAGAAAAACAGTTACAGTACTAAAAACTGGTTGAAGTTCAACCATCTCAGGAGGTAGTTTATGATCAAGAACTGATGTATTGAAGCAAGATATCCAAGTTGTACTAAAGGGATTAGGAATAAACAAGGCTTCAGGAATTGATAGGGTATCACCTGGATTCACAATTTAAAAAAAGTATTCAAAGTGAAATCTATTAAAGGATAGATAGTCTGACCAGTGATGAGGGTACTGTGGGCCTGGAGACATATAAAGTAGAATCAAAGAATCTGGTTTGACTTAGACTGATTTTTATGTAAGTCTCAAATATAAGCAAAAATTATGCTGTTTGATGGCAACTAGTAGATGGTTTATCATAAAGGTTTAAAATAATGACAGTTTCTATGGCTACTTTATAATTCACAGTGAGTCCAATTCCCTGATACACTGATATTCCTTTATCCTTATCCCCCCAGAGCTCCTTTTTTTTAGTTTTGGAAGAGTGCCAGTCTTTCTTCCTAGTTGTAACAGAATGACTGATAATCATCCTGTGAATTTTTAAATTGTTTTTTTTTAAACAATGAATCTGCATGATATAGATCTACAAATTATAGGAATTATGGAAAATGAGAATTATAATGGTTTGTCTTACAAACGCAGCATATAGATCTTAGTGTATTTATAATTGTGACATGGAGTTTGTTAAGCATGTAAGTCTTTCTAGATGAGGAGTATTAGTAACAATGATTTTAAAAGCTTAAAAAAAAAAAAAATCAACTGGAATGTTTCAACAAACTGATATAGTGCTGACCAACTGACTGAAAGAGATCCATTATCTGTGCCCATTTCAAACAAAGCTGACCCAACAGAATATGGAATTTATCAAACAGTATAATGTTGTTGTTGTTGTTAAGTGCCAAAAAGTCAGTTCCAACCCATAGCGACCCTGAACAGGGTTTCCAAGGCTGTACATCTTTACGGGAGCAGAAAGCCTCATCATACACAAGTAAAATTTTGTTGAAGGTAATGTCAAGATGATTGCTGTAGCATAACAACAGGGAGGAGCCAGAAATTCAAGCCGAATTCTGAAGAGAACATGGAATAAGGGTTATAATTACTGCTGTCAGATGGATCTTGGCTGAAAGCAGAAAACACCAGAGTGATGTTTACTTGTGTTTTATTGACTATGCAAAGGCATTCAACTGTGTGGATCACAATAAACTATGTACACCATTGTGTGGAACAGAAATTTCAGAACACTTAATTGTACTCATGAGGAACTTAGCATTCAAAGAGAAAAAGGGGATACTTGTTAGGTGGTGTCAAGTCAGTTCCAACCTCTAACGACCCTATGTACAACAGAACAAAACACTGCCTGGTCCTGTGCCATCCTCACAACCGTTGTTATGCTTGAACCTGTTGTTACTGACACTGTGTCAATCCACCTTGTTGATGGGGGTCCTCTTTTTCCACTGACCCTTTGCCAACAATGATGTTCTTTCCTAGGAACTAGTCCCTCCTTAAAACATGTCCAAAGTACACACAGCAAAGTCGCCATCTTTGTTTCTAAGGAACATTCTGGCTTTACTCCTTCCAATAGATCTGCCTACTGCAGTACATCATTTCATTTCTTGACTGTTGCTACCATGAACATTGGTTGTAAATTCAAATAAAATGAAGCAAGCCAATTTCAATTTTTTTCTGTTTATCATGATATTATCAGTCCAGTTGTAGAGATTTTTTTTTTTTTAACATTGAGGTACAATCCATAATGAAGTCTTTTATC